AAAAAGTTCCTAACTGTCAGGGTGGTTAAACACTGGAATAAATTGCCTAGGGAGGTTGTGGAATCTCCATCTCTGGAGATATTTAAGAGTAGGTTAGATAAATATCTATCAGGGATGGTCTAGACAGTATTTGGTCCTGCCATGAGGGCAGGAGACTGGACTTGATGACCTCTGGAGGTCCCTTCCAGTCCTAGAATCTATGAATCTATTCAGGCACAGCACCTCCCTCTCCAATGTACTGCTTCATGGGTGCTGCTTGGCCTTTTTATAATCACCTATTTTCAGAATAGCATGTAAAGGACTACGCACTTTAGCATAAAGGGTACCCCTGAGAAAAAGCCTTTAGTGGGGAGTCTCCGCTTGTAATAATAGGGCAGTGCTGAGAGGAAGCTCACATCACTGAAGTCTGGGCAGGATTTGGTAGCTCACACAAATGTAGTACTAGAGGGCACTGACCGTCAGTGCTGGGAGGAAGTTCACACCAGTGGGCTGTGGGCTGGCCCTGGTTAGCTCACACAGGTGTAGTTCCACTCAGCAATGCTGGGAAGAATTTTGCATCACTGTGTTCAGGGCTGGCACTGGTAGGTCACATCTGTGAGGAAACTCACACTGCTGGAGCCCCAGCTGGCATTTGCTAGGTTCTGCTGTGAGGCCACTGACATAAGTGGAATTCTATCTGGCAAAGACAACAGTGAAGAAGCAGGCAGAGCTCGTAAGTCCCCAGTTGGTTCACTGCCTCAGTCATGAAAGGGGGCTTCACAGGAGGAATAGACTGATGCATCAGCTGTATTTGCAATGGCTGTGATGCCAGTGGTGATTTCTCTTCTCTCTCTGGAGGTCAATGGAACGCTGAAGATACTTGACCTCTCATGGAATGGCTTTGGGAATGAAGGGGCTCTGGCCCTTGGAGAAGCTCTCAAACTCAACAACATTCTGGTCCAACTGGACATCAGCAGCAACCATATCAACAATGAAGGGGCAGGGAAGCTGGCCAAGGGGCTAGAGGTCAATGGAAATCTCAAAATCCTGAAGGTAAAGACAAAGCCTGAATTGGGCTATGAGTAAGGGAAAGGGGTGGAAAACCCTGAGTCAGGGGGTGAGGAAAACTCTGATATGAGCTGCCTAAGCTGAAATGGAAAGCAATTGGTTTTGTGCTAAGCAAGAGACAGGCAAAGGAGGAGAAGAAGGAGGTGACCAGAATCTATTCCTGTAGTTGGCTTTGCAGAGTTTAATGGGAAGGTGACAAGATGGACAGATAATGAAGATAAACTTGTTGAAAGGGCACAGTTGGGCCATGACCCTCCTAAAGTCTAAACTGAGGGGGAAAGAGATACACCCACACTTATTACCAGGAAGTGAAATTCTCCTCCTAATTTTTTTCCATTTGTCTTCCACCACAGCTGTCTCATAATCCCCTAACTGTAGAGGGTGCCATTGCGCTTGTCACATCCATCAGGAAGAATCCAAAATCCAAGATGGAAGAGATCAACATCTCAGTAAGATGGTGTTAGGGTTGGTAGAGTCCCCAAATATATACATTAGAACCTTTTGGAGCCACCTGAATTCTAGTGCTAAACTCTTTCAGAACTCTTTGAGGTCTGTCTTCTGGGTTACCTGTATCAGTTCAGCTCCAGCCACTAATGACAAAAAGTTACTATTTAACAGCTCTCCAATGGCATGAATGGAAGTTGTGAGGTCTCAATCTAGTTCCTGGTAGATTGTTATCCATATCACCATCACAGTTAGCAGTAATTGGCCATCTTGACTGCAATCTCAGAAAAGAGGACAAAGCATGAGTTCGCCTTGGAGGCTAAACTCCTTCTTATGCTACAATATGACCTTCCAGGGCAGTATAGTAGAGCAGTGGTTCTCAAACTAGGGCCGCCGCTTGTTCAGGGAAAGCCCCTGGCGGTTTGTTTACCTGACGTGCCCGTAGGTTCATTCGATCACAGCTCCCAGTGGCCGCGGTTTGCTGCTCCAGGTCAATGGGGGCTGCGGGAAGCGGCAGCCAGTACAGTCCCTCGGCCCGCGCCGCTTCCCGATCATAAATGTTTCCTTATCACTTGAAGAACTAAGACTTTAGAATGTCTATAAGAGAAATCATTTTCAATAAGAATTTTTTCTAGAATCCATTGCGTGGGATTGAAACCAAGAGGTTCTTTTCTTTGCAGAGGAAAGGGGTGAAAAGGGCCATTTTTCTGATTTCTTAGTTTATCTCTGGATAACACATCCTAAGCATTAATTCTCCTTACATTCTTTTACACAGTCTACCACTTACAAATTGCAAGTAAAGACTCAGATCAAATATTCTATACAAAACATGAATCACAATAACTAATACTAAAACATATGATAAAAGAAAATAGTATGAAATACTAAAGCAAAATAGAAGGTATCAAGATGAATTTCAGAGTCTTGGTAACTTCACTTGGGGTAATAAACATGGTATTATTTTCCTTGAGCTTTGGAAGCCTGTCACACTGACAGAAAGCAGAGGCCTCCAGGAATCTCCTTACCTAGCTTGATGTTTTATATAATCAAATAAGCAACTAGCAAGCATTTGAGCAATCATATTCTCCAAGCATCATGGGTATGAACATCATTTTAAGTGTCTCTTAAAAATTTCAGTAAAGGCAAAGACAAGTTTGTAATAACCTAATATAATAAAAATCAATTATAATGATTTCATTAATAACTATTTTTGCATCAATATTGAGGTTTATCCCCTACAGGTGGCTATAAAACCTTAAGATAGAATATTGTATTAGTGCTGTCCTTGCTATAACTGCTCTGGGGATAGTTGACTTAAGTTTGATTTTCAGAAATGCTCAGCCCGCACTACTCCATCAAAATCAGTGAGCGCTGCAACTGCTCAGCATCTCTGAAAACCAAACTCTTAGTCTCCAGATACTGCCAATATGTAACCTTTAACCAACACTACATACTTAGAGCCCTGCAAAACTGCAGGTATCCGCTTTATATCCATGGACCATTTCTGAGGATAGCAGCATGGATGTGGATACAAATTTTGTATACGCACAGGACTTTGACGGTAAGAGCCGGGCGGGCAGCTGTGAGGAACCATGGCACGGATCCTTCACCTGCCCTGGGCGGGTGCCTGGGGGGCAGGGACACTGGGTGGGGGCTGCTTGGGCCTCTGCCATGGCTCTCCACAGCTGCCCGCCCGGATCTTATCATGGCCGGGCTGCAGCTCCGAGCCGCCCCTCTCCCTGCCGGAGCCAGGTCGGGGAGAGTCACACTGGCATCTGTGGGGAGTCTGGGTCCCTCCACTTGCCCTGGGAAAAGGGCTGGGACACTGGGTGGGGGGTCTGCTTGGGTCCCCCGCCCAGGGCAGGTGGAGGGTCTGCCGCCAGTGTGGCTCTCCCCGGCCCGGCTCCAGCCAGGGAGGGAGGGTGGCTCAGAGCTGCAGCCCAGCCACAGTAAGAGCAGGCAGCTGTGGGGAGCCGCAGCAGACCCTCCACCTGCCCCGGGTGGGGGGCCCAAGCAGCCCCTGGGCAGCTCCACAGCATGGAGCCCAGCCGGGGAGTTGTCGGGAGCCGTGGTGGACCCTCCACCTGCTCGCGGTGCAGGTGAGGGGCTGAGAGCAGTCCCTGGCTATGTCCCCGTCCCCCAGGTTCCCCGCCCAGCTGAGGGCAGGTGGAGGGTCCCTGACTCCACGTGGGCTCCCCACAGCTGCCCACATGGCTCTCCCCAACTGGGCTCTGGCGGGGGGGATGCCTTGGCGCCTCAGCCAGGCCCCCACTGTAGAGCCCTGCAAACCCGCAGATATCTGTGGATGTGGATATCTGCAGATAATTTTTGTGGATAGCGGATCGGATTCGGATACACATTTGTGTATCCGCGCAGGGCTATATACATAATGAAACAGAGTTTTACGAAAAGCACTGAAAATTCTAGGTGTCAGTTGAAACTCAACCCCCTCCCAGATTCCCCTGTCCCTGTAGGGTGGACTGTAAAGAGACATTATTGGAGAAACTAACCCCTTTGACTTTAGATCAGTTTTAATTTTTTTTTCTGCAGAAAGCCAAGCAATAATGAGCAGGTCATATGTTGAGCAAGTGGGGAGGGGACCATCTCCCAGTAATCTTCTGATGACCGACTATTTGAGCCAGGTGGCAGATGTGTTTCAGCTTGATAGGCATTTGTCTTGTGTCAAACTGAAGTAACTTTTGTGTATCACAAGTGGTGATAGGTGGTGAGGATAAAGAAAGGGAACATATGCTCAGAGGCTGAAGCACTAAAGAGTCTTGGGCCCCCAGTGGGATCCACTAAAGTGAAGTGTGGGGAGGAAAGAAGGTCTGAGGCATGGGGAGCATAGTTAATATTGAGATAAGATGGGGTTCATTAATATAGGCGGTTTCTTGCTTTCATTAAACCCTCAGGCAGGCTGGACAATATGGCTGGGATGTCTGTGCTGAGTGTGGTGTTCTCTTTCCCCTACATTAGAATGTGCTTGTGAATGGAAGCTTCCTCAAGCTGCTGGATGTGGTGTGTCAGGTGCACCCTGAATTAGATGTCATCTATGGTGGGGTTCGAGGCTTCATCTCCAAGAAGCCTGAACAGCGTCCAGACCCCATGATGCTGATTCAGGTGAGCAGTCCAGATTGGCTACATAGTCTCTCCACACAAATAAGCAATGGCCACGTTAACACCACCCTATACCGAAAACCCACCGACTGCTACGCCTACCTTCATACCTCCAGCTTCCACCCTGGACACACCACACGATCCATCGTCTACAGCCAAGTG